ATACAAAGGGGTCAAGATGGATCCTACCAATGTACAGGCCATTGTAGACTGGCCGACACCTAAAATAGTGACTGAGGTGAGAAGTTTTCATGGTTTAGCAACATTTTATGGGAGATCTATCAGAAACTTCAGCAGCATAATAATAGCGCCCATAACTGATCACATGAAGAAAGAGGTGTTTGAGTGGACTTCAGCTGTTGAAAACAGCTTCAAATTCATGAAAGAAAGGATGACAAGAGCTTTTGTCCTAGCACTTCCAGACTTTGAAAATGCCTTCCAAGTGGAGTGATGCCTCGAAGGTGGAAATTGGAGGTGTCCTAAGCCAAGAGCGCAGAACTGTGGCCTTTTTTAGCGAGAAACTGAGTGGGGAAAAGTTTAGTTATTCTACCTATGATGTGGAATTCTAGGAGGTGGTTCAAGCCTTGAGTCATTGGAGGCACAACCTCATTATCTTATTTTCAACAATGAAGCTTTGAAGTTTCCAAGTGCAAGTGGGTCTCTTACTTACAATAGTTCACTTTCATAATCCGCCACATATCAGGCAGCCAAAACAAAGTGACAAATGGCCTCAGTCGGACGTATCACCTTCCTAGTACTTTTGCGACCTCGGTTGTGGGTTTTGAGTCCCCCCCTTAGACTTATTCTACTGACTCTTACTTCTCTAAGATCATTGAGCAACTTGCACAAGAAGATAAGGAAACATGTGCTGTTTTTTGTTTTGCAGGATGACCTTTCTCTTCAAAGGAGTCGGCTCTGCATTCCCGAGGTTACTTCGCATCCAAATCATAGGTGAGATGCATGGTGACAATCTTGGTGGTCACTTTGGTGGGATAAGGCCACAACCCTTGTGGAAGAAAAGTGCTTTTGGCCTAAACTAAAGGAGAGATGTTAGCCAGTTCGTTGAGTGTTGTCGAGTGTGCCAGTTGGCGAAGGGTCAGTTTCAAAACACTGGTCTTTATACTCTGTTACTTATCCTCGACGGACCATGGACAGATGTGAGTATGGACTTTGTGATAGGACTTCCTTGCACCTTGAGAGGGTGTGACTCTATCTTTGTGGTGCTAGATAAGTTCTCTAAAATGTCCCTCTTACTCCCTTGCCAAAGTACTTTAGATGCGACTCAAGCGGCTGATCTCTTCTTTAAGGAGGTGGTTCGCTTTCATGGTGTGCCAAAGACCATCACTTCAGACCGCGTCACAAGATTTGTGAGCCATTTTTGGAAAACCTAGTGGAAAAAGTTAGGCACTAAACTGCAGTATAGCAGTGCTTATCACCCACAAACTGATGGCCAAACCGAGGTCGTCAACGGAGCCTTTGAGATTTGTTGAGAAGTGTTGTCAGGGGCATGCCTTCTCAATGAGATCGTGTTTTACCTCAGGCAGAATTTGCCTGCAACAGTTCCCTTAATCGGTCCACATGGAAAGCTCCATTTGAGGTGGTGTATGGTCATCCAGCAAGCAAGGTGCTTGACCTAGTCCCTTTGCCCGAAGGGTTGCGAGCTTGTGATGATGTGGAAGCTTTGGCTGAGCACATTCAAGACCTCCATTAATAAGTTTGGGAAAGACTAAAAAGTGCTATGACAAGTACAAAGCTAATGCCGACTTGCAACGACTTGAAAAGACCTTTGAAGTAGGAGACTTGGTAATGGTGTATCTTAGATGTGAGAGCTTTTTTTTTTTTTAAATTTGTTTACTTTGTATTGAAAGAAATCAAAGCTACAGAATAAAGGCAGCCTACAGGCGAGTATACTATACAACAAGGGATAATCAAGTGACCCTATACAGAAAGAAAGCTAAACATGGACAAGTATCTAAAATGGGAAAACGTTTGCTCAAAGAGGTGCTACATAGCTTCCCTGCTTTGAGTTTAAGTTTATAATTGAATGGCCAAGGAGTCAGCCTCGAGATTGGTTTCTCTCCAAATGTGGTGCCACAATATAGGAATCGAGATACGAAGTTGTCAAATCTCGTCGAAAATGTCATAGAGTCTCCACAGCCACAAAGAACTGCCCGGGGCCCATACCAACACATTTTTGGAGTCGCCTTCAACTATTAGAGGTTGGCCCCAAGATGGATCAAAATTCATGAGGCCTTTCCAAAGTGCTTGGGCTTCTGTGACTGTGGAATCCGAAAGGCCAATACAAAGGGAGAAGGAGCATAGGATGACTCCTTCAGAGTTACGGAATAAACTCCCAATGCCTGCTAGCCCTAGGTTTCTCAAAGAGCTGCCATCTAAGTTGAAGTTGACCTGACCAGGTTCTGGGGGTCTCCATAAAGAAGCACGAGGAACTCTGAATGATGAAAGATTCATCAGGGTGGCCCAGTTGAGCTGGAAGTCTGAGAGAGATAGGTGGCTAAAAAGTTTGTTGTGAGTTGCCCAAAAAATAACCAGGGATTTGGCCTTCTCGATTAGAGCTGGTGGGTGCAACCATTGACTACGGAGGATTTTGCTATTCCTCTCATGCCAGATGACCGAGAGGGTTGCTGCCACAAATGCTCTCCATAAAGTGATGCCCGCCTCAGACCAGGGAGGGGAGAAATGTGTTCGAAATAAATGGGGGACAGATGGGGGGTCAACCATTGTCAATGGGATTGTTGAAGGAGATCAGCCCAAAGGCGTGAGCGCTTTCCAAGAGGCACTTATCATAAGCCTAGATATAAGAAGATTGCCCTTGTCGAGTACTTCAAAAGATGGGGCAGAATGGCTACAAGGTCGAGCTTCTTGAAGGATATGAAATTTCTCCTATTTTCAACATTTCCGACCTCTATGAGTATCATGGGGAGGTTGTTTAAAAAGCTGGTGCTAGTTGGGAAGCCCATCTGCCTCAGCAAAAGGAGGACAAGGTAGAAAGGATCTTGGACAACCGCATTATATCCACCCGCCGAGGGAATTATAGTAAGCATTTAGTGCAATGGAAGGGCCAGCTGATGCAAAGAGGTCTTGGATTTTTAAAGAACAATTGATGAAGATTGATCCAAAAGCCCTTGAGGAGTTCATTGCCGGTTCAAACTAGAGGATGAGTTCTCTTTAACCTGGGAAGATTGATGAAGAAAATAAAAGAAAGTTTTGATTTATGTTGGACTACATTTTTTTTTTTTGCTTTGCAGGGCTTATTTTGGGGATTTTTCTCTATAATAGACTTTTTTGGAATTTACAGAAAAGTCAAGGGGGATTCTTTTAAATTTTGGGTGTGGAAAAATTAGGAGGGACATGATATAATTTGAATTTGAAATCTTTTCTTGGAAAGTGGTATTGTCCATGGCATGAGAAAGTGTATTTTGCATGACTTGGGAAGCGGTAGAGTCCATTTAATGTTCCTTGGAAAGTTAAGAGAGCTATGACTTTGAAGCCAAGCCAAATCTATTAAAAGGGGAGACCTTACCCTGCTGGAAATGATGTTTTGTTGTTGTACAACTCAGAAAATTAGGAACTGAGTTCCCATTTGGAGTGTCTTTGGACCCTCATACTAGCCATTGAAACTAGACTTTATTAGCTTCAACTCATTATGTTTGAATCATAGTTACTTTCCTTTGATTTCTTCCTGATTTTGAGCTATTTCTCTTTCTTTGAATCATATTTAAGTTACTTTGATTTGTACCTGATTTTGAGCCATTTCTTTTTCTTTCTCTCTCTTTCTCTCTCCTGCATCATTCTTCCAGCTGTTGAGAAAGGTAGTAAGAAGGAAGTCTAGAACTAGCCTATACCTTTTGGCTCAGATTATAGTTTTGGCTCTATGAGGTCTCAAAGGGACTATAGGATAGAATTTGTGCCTTGGGAGGTGCGTGTATTCCTCTCTTTCCATGTGGACAACAATGTCGCCATCATCGAGACCCTCCAAAGGAAGATACATCGCTTAGGGTATGGTGGGTATAGCAACTCATGAAAGAGTTGGCTGATTGACTGAGGGACAAGCCATTGCCATTTGAACTCTTGAGTTTGGACCATATACTCGTGGGCAACGTGCAGTGCAGGAAGAATGCGCGTTATTTTGGTGTTACAATATGTATGTACACAATGTGTACTTGTTGTTTACCATGTACACATTGGTGGCTGGCAAATTGGCAATGTCCCAGGTCAGTACAATCATTGCCCATTATTTAAGTAATAGAATTGTATTTATTCAAAACTAGTGAAGCTTTCCCTCATCTTGGTATGTGACAGTGCATTCCTCGTCTCCTTTATCTCTTCTAACAAATTTTGGCTCACTCTAGCTTGTCTAACATTGTATTGAAACCCATAATGTAAGAACTAAAAGGATACTTATGTTGCTGGGTAGAAATGGCAGTTCCAAAGACAAACCAATTGCAGTAGCAATTGAAGTGATTGGCTAAAAGGTACACCATAGGACAGTATTACTCTCATCACTTTGCTAATTAAATATGCAATAGGATCACCCTATTGATGGCCGAGTAATGACAAAATGTGTTTATCATTACCCATTTTAACAGGACATGAGAAAACAGATGACCACCATTGTTTATGATTAATTACTTCACTAATGGAAATACTCAATTTGTGTATCACGGAGAGCTCTCAGCAATTTCTTCTCTTGTCTAGTTGTCTTGTGCTGGAAACCTTGTTCCATTCTGTAATATTCCACTGGGAAAGGTGTCAAAATACCCATCAGAGATGAACTATTTAACATTTTGCCCAACTGCAAATATTCCAACTCAAGATCATATTTTTGTTTATAGATATTTTGATATTACATCAAAAGATATAGGTAGTGTTAAATTGTTCATATCTTGTGGGTAATTTGATAAATTTCTTTAGTTTATGAAGTTGGTAATTTGATAAATTTCTTTATTCTATTACTTTAGTTTATGAAGTTGAATACATTCCTCTCTGACATGTCCACTGTATTTTAGATTGATGTTGTTTTTGTTGAGTTCAAAATACAAGAAAAAGGTATATTTGCCTTTGGTGTTTTTGTGGAAGGTATTTGCATGTGCAAGCAAAGATGTATGTTTTTGCTTGAAGGTGTTTTGGGAAATTTTCAGGTTTATGTAATCCAGCAAATAGAATGAGGGAGCTTCACAAGATTAGTATGTGCTCAAAAAGTCCAACGTTGCTGCCTGAGAAGGACAGGAAGTGAGTCATATTGTGGATGACTCAGTTGCTCCATGTAAGAGGGGAAGAGCTAACTCATATCTGAGTTCAGCAGGTGTAGTGTAAAAATTATTATTTTTTCATTTGAAAGAGAACAATCTTTCTGTGATGTACCACATTGTAAAAGGCTTATTATATCTGTTCTTTCTACTTCAGTCAATATTGTTTGTTCTTTTTCAATAATTTTTTCCATTCCATGTTTTAGACCTGTAACTTTCAGCAGCATTATCTGTGTAAACATACTTACATTTTGTTAGGCTAGATATGGGATTCTGTCATATTGCTGGTTTAAAATGTATTGATTTGTCGCGCTCTTTAATATGTTTGATGTGCAACATTCTCATCGTTCTTAGCAATGTTATTAGATTTGCTGTGCTTCAGCCAAATTGGTCAAGCTCTTCAACTTCAGCACCAACTAAAGGGAAGCGGATCCACCCCACTATTTTGAATATATCAACAATACTCTCAAATTATTCCATCACACGCCTTGTACTTCCAAAATTTTGGGAAATATCCTCTATATATTGAAAATATTTTAAGTGAATTTGGATTATTATTTTTTTATTTTTCTAAAATAAACCGGAAGATATTTTCCTTGACTTGACTTTAAGGGTTGAAGTGCTTAGCATTTCAGGCACAATCGAGAGCTCCTTGAAATGAATATGTGAACACCCAATTTGAAATTGTTGAATTTCCTTAATTCGAAAACCTTAAATTCTCAGCAACCTGTAACCATGAACTATAAACCATACTAGCATAGTACACACTGACCAGCAGTATTAAATATTCCTTAGAACAAGTGTTGAATTTGTCCAAATCCAGTCAAATCAACGCAAATCTATTTAGAGATATCCTGATTGATACAGAGCTATCTAAAGAGCAATGATCTAATGCAATGGTTGTATCATAGTATAATGCAATGACACTTCTAGAAAATCATGTTTGTAGTATTTGTAGGATTCGAAATTTTGCACACACTCTTTTCATATCAATAATCAACCTCCTCCCCTCCCCCAAAAACAAAAAAAAAAAAAAAAAAAAAAAGAAAAAAGAAAAGATATGATCAAAATGAGTTTTTTCCAAAAATGAATTTAGGGCATTCATTTTTGTAAATTTCAAGATCTTAGTCTTTATAAAGTAATTTTTTTTTTCTTTTTTAACATTGTTCATCTAATGATAATAAAGCCATCCAAAAAAATTGGAATACAAAAATCATTTTTTAAGTCCTAGATCTAAACAGCTCACCAAAATGAACGACTTATATTAATTGGGCTAAAAAAATACTTTCTAGGATGTATTTTCAAAATTTTTTTTTTTTGTAATTATTCATTAGAATAAAAAAAAGTGTATATTTCAAAATTTGGATCAAACAAATGGGCATAAGATAGTTTTTTAAAGTTGTTGCATCATATTACAATATAATGGTTCCATGAAATCATTGCTCCTATCTAAAATACTAGACAAAGCCTTAAAACCTTAGATTGGAACCGTCGAACCAGCTTAAAATCAAATCAGACCACCAAAAAAGGAATCAACAGTAGGTCCAACACCACCCAAAAAAAATCTGGGCAAGATCTGAGCCAGCAGCATGATATGTGTCGTTTTTGGTCTTGGAATGTTTTGGGGTGTTTGGTCGCATCCAGATAAACAATTTTCTCTTTTGGCCTGACTTCCGGTTCGGCTTCTAGAAGACTGTTTTGGGAAATTTTCTAGAGTCCTAAACCCTATAGAAGATCGAATCCATGACTAGTCAAAGTTAAAGCCTAAAGATAGACCTAGAACTCATAATCCCCATTTAAATGGGAACCAATTAGAGCTTATATAATTCGCCCTCCAGCCTCCCATAACAAAGAATAACAACGATTCCTTAGAAATTAGAGAGAAAATCCCTTGGGCTAGAGAAACCCTAGAGCCTAGAAGCCCTCGAACTCAGGTAACCCTAACTTTAGGACATTCAAACCCTAGAAACTCTAATTATCTATAACCATCAACCCCTAATTTCACAATCCTAGTTCAATTTCACAATCCTAGTTCAAAAAAGGATGAAGAAAAGCAAAACCTAAGAAGAACGCTTCAACTTATTCAAGCGACGTTCTAGGGTTGAGGATTAAGAAGTCTTTCTTTCCTTTAATCTTTAATTTATTTTCCCTTTTTTTTTTCTTTCCGTTTCTTTGTTTCTTTATGGATTTTGTGTGATCTCAACTTGGCTTCGCTGACAGTGTGTGAGGAGATCTATTTATGTATACCTATCTTCTCATATGTAATTCAACAAACCCCATTATTCTCTGTCAATAATTTTAATTGTTTAGTTTGAAGCATAAACTATGGTCTAAGAAGGGTGAGGCCTTTAAACTTTTTCTTAACCCGTCCCAAGTTGGGTAAAGGATGTAGATTGTGTTAGGAAGGCAGACAAGGTAAAGCTTTGTCAAAACTTTACACGAGTCTTGAATGTAAGTTTGAGAAAAGGCTCATATGAATTTGAAGCATAAACTAGAGAGGATTTCATCAGAGATCTTTCCGGATTTGGTTATGAATTGTTTGGAACCTACCATAGGGCATGTTGAGCTTGATTTTGTGCCAAAAACCCATCAGGATATGACCTTAAAAGTTTGTTCCAAGGCTTGTTTTTAGGGTTGGAAATGGTTTGGGTTGGGTCCTGGTTGATCTAGTTCGAGACTCAACTAGACTATGTTCCCCTCATGGATTTGGATCCTAGGTCGGGTCCAAGTGACTTGGACCTAAATATGGTCGGGTCCAAGTCATTAGGTTCCAGACCCGGATCTAGAAATAAAAAAATAAAAAATATATTTTATATGCATGTCTAACATTTTTTTTTAATATTTTATATCGGGTGGGGTCTGGTTGGTCGGACCTGACCCAAACTAGACTTGCCCAATAGCGTCCAAGGTAGATCCTGACCCAGACCTGGACTTGACCCGGGTCAAGTCCAAGTCATTTGAACCTGGACTGATTGCCACCCCTGTATTTTTTTGACCAATAGAGGACACTAAAATGCTTTTTATGCTTCCCCTACAACATAAAACTTATATACTACCCCTTATCCAACCGTCCATTCTGAATGGAGGGCTAAGATTGCCTCAATCACAATTTTACGTCTTTACACCATTTTCTTTTTTTTTATAAACTATTTTGAAACCAAACTTTGGATGTCCATTCCTCTATTAAACTCGTTCTATCAAAAAATATATAAAAAAAATATTTTTAATAAAATAAAATGACCAAAATACCTTTGAGAGCTTCAAAGGGTATTTTGGTCATTATATTTTATGGAAAAATTATTTTTAATATTTTTTATAAGTGCACCCCAATGAGAAGATGACATGTACCAAATTCATACAATTTGTATAAAAAAATAAAAATAAAATACTTTGAGACGTCGGATCTAAGATCAAACGGTGAGTGGCTCTCTTGATCAAAATTAAACGGCTGGATGATAGGGGAGGATAGAACTTCTATGCTGTAGGAAAAGCATAAAAACATTTCCCCGCTAAAATGTAGGGAAAGCATAAAAACATTTCCCCGCTAAAATACTGTCTAGGGCAAAACAGAGGAACCAGAGTGTCTAAGCCCTCAGTGACGCAATGGGCATTCTAGCAACGCCAAGAACGTTGATGCATTATAGCACGCCTGAAACTTCCCCAATTTAGGTTCTGGCCCCACTAACTATTTCCAGTGGATGTTTCACACCTGATTTTCTTTTTATTTCTATTTTATGGTTTAGTTCAGTAAAAAAAAATTATATTTACTTGAATTAGAATTTTCTTATTTGCTTGTTTGTTGCACATGCTTGTCACACCTCCTGACCGACCTACACGTATGCTCGTTTCCACTCGTTTTTGCACATTAGTGACTTAAATATTAATTTTCAAATTTTTTGAACACCCCAGAAGTCGACACTAAGACTGAGAGGAGAACCTGGCTATTTGAAGCAGGTGGGTTGGGGATTATGCAATTCTTTGCCCCAAAGCACCCCATATATAGTACGATCCCATAGCAATACCCATGAGGGTGGTTTGGGACTTACTGGATAGCCATTGTAACTTAGCCACATTTCAACTTTCTAGTTAGGAACCCCTCTTGAGCCTTATCGTACCCTTAGAATTTTAAAATATTTTCAAGTGGCAATTTGGTTTGGTCTATCTTAAGTTTGTTTTGAACCTTTAGTTTAAGCATAGTTTAGACATCATGTTCCAAGACTGAAGTAGGGTGAGGTCCGATTCAAGTGCCAATATTATGACTCCATCCCAGCCTAGGCCCAAGATATTGAGTCACCAACGTGAGAGGCATAGGTGCTCCTCGAACCCATAGTACTCGTGTGACTGAGTGTAGTCTCTAGCCATGTGGAACCATATAGTCCACTCCAAGTCAATATTCCTCATGGTCGCCAAATGGTAACTATGGACCACTTAATCTGCGGGACCCGTGACACCTTGAATAACCAAAGAACTAAACCAGGGATCATCCTCCCATACATATGTATTAGCATCAAGTCCGATTGGCATGGCCAAGTTAAGCCAAATGTCAAAATCCTTGAAACCCTTAGCACCTGAGTCGGGTTAACCCTATTGGTCAGTTACCCTCCCATCAATCCCACCATTCTAACCCTAATAACCACTCGGTTAGCGGTCAAGAAAATCAAAGCTCACAAAAGCAATCCACCTACCTATCTTAATACCAATAAGAATCAGGGTCTCGACTTGAGTCAACTCCAAAAAATTCCTTAAGTGTAGGTGTTCTTGCAAGACCTAACAAAACCGAGATACACTATTCAACCCAGACAACATAAGCAAGGTGTGTCATACGTACAAACCCTTGGTTTCTTTGAGCTAGCCAATCTAAACCAAGAACCACCTACTAAGAGTAGAGGCCCAAGCCACATGTGTGGTGTTAGTCATCAGCATCCTAGTCCAAGCTTCCCTCGAGGGATTACGTGGTCTAGTAGTGTTCATGGCACCCTCTTACAGTCTGACACTGTAGAGAGGAATGGTTCTACCTGTAGTCCATCACCTCTTAGGAGTGGACCACCTAAGCAAGGGTTCGGCCCTAGTTGTCAACCTTTATGTTAGGGAAACCTAGACCCTGCTAACCAAGGTCAATCTTAAAGGCCTAGTGACCACAATATCCCAGGGGATCCTTTCCAATCGTCAATATGTGAACACCCAATTTTGTAAGCCTTCTTGTGAAACATTGTGAGTCTAGGTGAGTCCAACCTGGCTCGACCAAATAATCTAGGTGGATCCATAGGTCAACAACTACTCTACCTAACCCAGTTCCTTCCCTAAATTCAATCGTCGGGGCAACCAAATCAGC